TTTACTTATTTTTAAGTAGTTTGGATAATAATTAATACAAGAACCAATAATTGGCCTACATCATTGTCAATTAATCAATCGTTCAAAAATTATAAATAATTTGATTAAATTGATCATAGTTAAAAATTTTATTAAATTTATATTTTTATAGATAGTAAACTTTATATATTTATATATTTATATATTATATATTATACTTTATATATTGACGTATTTATAAAAAACATTTCGTTTTAATTAGAAAAAAAAAATAGAAAATCAGTAAAAATAGATTTATTAAGATTTTCTTTTTATTCTCTTTAAATTATAAAAAATATTTTTTAAATTAAAAAATAGAAAAAATAGAAAAACTATATCAATAATTTAAAAAGAAATGATTTCTTTAAGATAAATATAATAATCATTAAATTTTAAATTTAATCTAAAAATTTTTTAAAAATATTATTACGAAAAAGTTATAAAAAATTAATAAGTTTCTTAATTATTGATTTATTATATTATTAATTATCCCCAATAATCTAAAACAATTCCTATTTCTTATTCCTAACCTAAAAACAATTTTATTTATAATATCGATTATAGTAATCAAAACAATTTTTTCTCCGACAATGCTTTTCATAATCATAATCAAAATCATTTAGAAAATATTAATTACAATAAAATAAAATATAAAATATTAAAACAATACCTACGTATAATTTTTTTTATATTTTGATTCTAACAATTAGATTCTCTACTTTAAATTCATAGATTGTCGACATTTCTAAAAATTGCCAAAAGATCCCTCGTTTATTTTTTATCTCGCAATATATCTTTTTTCCAAAGTTTTGTCAATGCATATTGAGATATGTTAAGGGAAATCGAAGACATGTTCCAATGGAAAGCGAATAAAAAAAAAAAAGAAAAAAAGATTCGAACCAGTAAAATTGAATATCGAAGATGCACTTACCCAATTTGAGCGGCGGTAAGTTATTGCAAGAGTGCATTCCGTTGTCATCGGGACGCGAGCAAATGTAGTCCTGACCCTGATATTCGAAGTACTTCTCAAGGTCGCTGGAAAAGTAACGAATCACGATTAAAAATCGATTTCAAAATAAGATCAAATCCTCACGCCTAGTTTTTTATAATTAATAAGTTGCATGTATATTATATGTATATGTATGTATATGCCTTATGCATGTATGCATTCGTTACATGCTTCGCTTATGCGTGTACACCGTGTATATGTACAGCGTGTTTTATATAGTATATTATATATATAAAAATTATGTATAATATATATATTTTTACAATATTTATATAATATATAGAGAAGACCATGAACGATTAAATTATTTTTATTATAAATGAATCGATCAAAATGTTTATCACAGGTGATATAATTTCAAAAGAGCTTCAAAGCAATGATATTTGTTTTTTCTATATCTCTTTTCTTGAAAATTTTTAATATAATATTTTCGAGATTTTTAGGATATAATAGGATATAACAGGATATAACTCTATAGCTCTTTTAGCTAATCAAAAATATTGAGATAAATTTAAAAACATTTTCTTCATTTAATACAAATAAAAGTTATAGAGTTATATATAAAAAATTTAAAAATGATATTATAAACTTTCTTAAGAAAAAAATAAACAGAAAAAATATCTTTGAAAATTCTTTGAAATTTCTTGAAATCAATAACAAAAAAAATTTTAATCGATTTAATAATAACAAAAATCTAATAATTATATTATATATGGTCCACTCTATATATGGTGATTATTTCACAAGAAAGGATGAATAAAATAGTAAAGCATAACAAAAGGAATGTTTTCGGTCTAATAAAACATATTTAATCATACTTTATTTTTTGGTAATAGAGTTTTAAAAAATGAAAATTTTGTATGTATACTATGAATAATTTGCCAAACATTAACTGTTTTGTGAGATTATGATTAAATTTCGAAAATCAAATTATATAATTTCCAGTTTGAAAATTATATAATATTTACAATGTTATTAATCTTTTTTACGAAATACGAATATATGAAAGAGAACAAAATTATTTTTAATAATTATTATAATAATATTTTTAATAATTGCAATTTTTCTAAATATAAAGATAATTTTTAAATATATTTTATAATTTTTATAAATATTATGTAAATATTATATAATTATATTATATAATAATTATAATTTTTAATAATTTTTAAATGGAATTTAATTTTTTAAATGACAACTTATTTATATTTATATTTTATATTACATTATATGTGTATTATAAATTAAACTATGTGCCGAAATATTTAAAAAATGATTGTTTTTATGATTATTTTTATCTGTGACTTTATATGATAAAATCATTACATCATATCAGCAAATTTATTTGTCATTTAAAAATATATTTCTTATTTAAAAATTTGTTATTATTAATTATTATTTTCTTCTATTTTTAATGATTTTATTTAAAAATTTAGGAAAATATTATATTACATTGTTTAATACATTGTTTAATTATCGTTTTTTAAAATCGTAAAACTTTTTTTTTCATATTTTTCTATATATTTTACTAGAAATATGAAAATAACCAGCTAATAACTATCTCTTCTTTTTTATTTTTGTATTATAATATTAATTGTAATTATTATTATCATTATTATTCTTAAATTTAATATTCTTTTAAGGAAACTCATAAATTTCATTTTAAATAATTATTTCCATTTATTATCTATTCTGAAAATATAAATTCTTTTTTAAATTATTTGGTATATTGCTTTCTAAATAATTAAAATTTTTATTCAAAAAATTAAATCCTACTATCGAAGAAAATAGATTATTACATCAATAATTTCCGTTCTAAATAAAATCATTTTTTTTTTCTTTTTTCTCTCTCTGAATAAATGATTTTCACTTCTCTAAATTTTTTATTCAAATAAATTCTTATTCAGGTTGATTTACGAATAAAACATCGTCGTTTCTCAAAAAAAATATATTAATTCTCTTGTAAAATTATGTAAAATTACCATTTTGATCAAGTTTTTCATAATTTAAAAAAGAAATATTTCTATAGAAAATAGAATTAAATTTAAATTAAATTAGAAAAAGAAATTAGAAATAAATTTTTTTATAATTCATATAATTTATATATTAAATTTCAAATTGTTAATTGAATGAAAAAATTTAGATAATAACGTCTAATAATCAATTAGTGAATAATTTATTTACATCTTTTTTGAAAATCATAAAATTGTACAATTAATTTATTTCATGTTATTAGTAGAATATTCTATCAAAATGTGATTGAATGTGCTTCAGTGATTTGGAAGAAAATGGAGATATGAATTTCTCATAAAAATAAACCTGGATTGTGTATTCCCTTAAATGTAATAGAATGCATTATATATTTTTCTATAATTTAATCTCTATCATTAAAATACAAAAAATCATATATTATGGAAAATAATATTGCAATAAAGATCAATAGTTAATCCTAAATAAATATAATTTTATAATTTGTCAGTTATTTTATTTTACATTAAAGTTATAAAGTTGTAAAAAATTCTAAAATAGTTTTTTAAATCTATTTTGACTTTTTTTAATAAAAATAGAATTCGTTAAATATGAATTTAAAAAATAAAACAATTAACTACAATTCTCGATTGATAGATAATATATCTATTAAATAAATTAATATATTATATGTATAATATCAATGCAAGTTTTTAATAATTGTAAATTATATGACATTATTTTTTGTTATATTTAAAGGAATATTGTAATTAATATTATTTAAAACATTGTTTATGTAATTTTAATGCAAGAACAAATTAATAAATATATAATTATAAATATAGTCTTCTTATTAAGAAATATATTCTGTCAAAAGCTTTACTGTCTCATTGACATAGCCTATATTTTTCATGTTGCTCATCGACTGACATCCGATCATTTTTCATATCTCTATTATTAAAAAATAAAGTAAAATCATACATATACAGTTTATTAGAACACTTACGAAAATGATGTAAACCTGAAAAATTATTAAGAAATTATTATAATCTTAAAAAATATTACTTATAAAAAAAAATATATTTAAATATTCATCATAATTTTTTTGAAATTATATGCAATAAGATTTCTATTTGATTTTACATTATATCAATAACTTAATTATTAAAATTTTAAAAAGATTTCTCGAAATTATCTATTTTTAAAATTTAAATTAAAAAATCATAGAAAATAATACACAATTAATTTATTATCTTTTTATAATTTTCATAAAATTTTCATAAAGTTTTATAAATTTTTGTAATGTTTTATACATTCTTATAAATATAAATTTTTAATTTATTATGTCATTACAATTTATTAGAAATATTATAAGAAAGCAGATCAATTAATTAATTACAAATAAATTTTTTATGAATTATATTTTAATAAATTCTATTATATAAGGATAACAAATTCAATAATAAAAACAAACAATTTTTAGGAAATTTTACAAGTTATACGATTCATTCATTATAATCCATCTCTTGAAATTACAAAATTCTAATAAAAAAAATCTACAACTTATAATTTAAAACATATTGTGTCGTTATCATTAATTAATAAATCATCAAAGAAAAGGACTTGTGTATTATAATACTCTTAAAAATATGTACATATTGTATACATTTATTCAAAAAACATTCCTTTTGTCATTTCTTACCTCAATCTACTTCAAGAATCCCTTACATTTAAACCTATTTGTACCTACGTTATAATATACAATACAGAAGAGACACGTACGCACGTGTGCGTGCTCGTATGTAAGACCCATATGTTACAGCGCAAGTAAATAGATGCAATAATCGGCCGATAAAAGAGAACAGAAGTAGAAAAAAGAAAAACAAAAAAAAAAAGAACGGCCAAGATAAACAAGGGCAAAAGCAAAATATCGAAGTTGTGTGCACACGAAGTCGACTCTGATTGCAACGTTCGAAACGATAAGAAAGAAAAACCGGTAACGCTTATGTATCGAAACGGCCTCCAGGATTTTCAGTGTCACCTGGTTGATGCAAGAAATTAAAACTTTCTTCTTCGGCTTCGAGGGCTGATCTGGTAGCTATCAATTTTCATCGTGTAAAATAGCATGGCCAAACAATATCGATCGTTGCAACAAAAACCGTTTAATAGAGACTCAATACCAGCATCACTCTATTTGTATTACGATTTGTTATGAGATGCGCGTGTGTATATAGATTGGTAAACATTCAGTTGTTACAAACACTCTTTTTTCCGTCATTCAAATCAAATATTCTTTCTGATATTCTTTTCATCCATTGATTTAAATCAACTTGTAAAGAGCCAATTCTCGCTGCCAAATGGATTATTTTTCGAAGTTCTGCAAGATAAAGAAATTTGTTAAAAACGAGACTCGATTATTTCTGATAGTTAGATTTAATTAGTTAGATTTTATTCTTTAGTCGATTCTAATTTTTGTTTTCCAAGTATAATTAAGTTATAAGTACGAAAGATTCTTTGTCGAATTCTTGGTTATTTAAATTCTATAAAGGAAGTTCTTTTAAAAAAACTGCAAAATAAAATAATCTACCACTATTGATTTTTATAGAATTTCGGAATTTTTATTGATTCGAAAATTTTTAATGTTTTTGCTACGAAATTTTTTGGTATACAAGTCAAAATAGTTTTTGATAGAAAAAATTTTATATTTAGCAAAAGAAAATGTAAATTTCGTTTTTTAATATTCATAATTTTTAATACCAAAAGTTGCTTTTTATGATAATATTTTAATCGAATTTAATCGATAAATTTTGATTAATCATTTTAAAATTATTATTTTTGTAATGATTTCATAAATTTATGTTAATGACAATTTATAATAATTTATATTTTTAATTTAATTTTTAGCAAATAATGTTTCTTAATTATATAAAATAAATTATATAAAAGAAATTTGAAATTTAAATTTTAGATTGCAAATATCATTTTACATATTATATTTTATTTTAGAGTATAAGTAAATTAATAATATAAGACAAAAATAGAAATATTGTAATTGACT